AAGCCCGTGACAAAGCACGCCGTACCCGCGAGCCACGAGTTGCCCTGGCATGTCTGGTCGCATTCGTACTCGCCGTCAGCGTTGTCCTCGCCAAGGCCCGCCGTGAACCCCTCGACGCTCTTGCCGTAGATTTCCACGAGCGAAATGAAGAGCATCACCCCCGCTGACAGGGAGAGCGCCACCGACAGACTCTTGGGGCTCGCGAGGTGCACGAGGCTCTTGCTGAACACGACCGACCCGCCGATGCACGTGGCGAGGCCGGCGGCGATGTTGAGCGCAAACGCGATGCCGACATTATGTCCAGTAGCAACCATGTCAAGATATGGGAAATTGGAGAATGTTAATGGGGCTGTCCAAGTTCGACAAAGCTGGGTTGGCGTTGGTGGTGGAGGAAGACCTTTGGAACATCGCGATGTGGTCGGTTGCAAAGTTGAAGTGGTTGGCGAAGTTGCACCAATCACAGACATTCTACGATTTGATTCGCACAGGTCGTACGACTACTTTTCGCAGTGGCATCAAAACAGGTTCAACTCTACTGAAAACTTGTTGGCATACTTGGTCGGATGCGGCCAAACACATGCCTACAACTGTGTTCAGCTGTTCCACATCTTGTTTTCGTGGGTTTTGGATCGTATGTGTCCAAATGTAGAGTCCATACTGCAACAGTACTGTACTGTACATGGAGAACCTTGGGGCTGGTGATGAGTGAAATCATTTGTGTTTGGAAGCGGGCGTCTAATTATGTATCGCGCCGAAGTCAACGCGTATCAAGTACACCGAGGACTACTGTAACATTAAGTCAATAATACCACAGCGGTATAAATACTCCGGAGTACACCCGGGATCTGTACGTAGGAGTGTCGATATTTCTCAGAAATCTCATGGATCGTGAGGTTGAGATATAACCACATGTCACATTACTCCGCTGAAATTGGAAGTTGGAACTTCACTGGTACTAGTACTACTAGTAGTACTACGTAGTACTTAGTAAGCTGAAGTCATGGGGAGGAAGTAAGCTTGCTGCATCTTCGAAGCAAAACAGTACGTAGTACTGTACGAGTACTTGTAGTACGATATCTGGCACTTTCGCAGTGAACCCAACATGTCAAACGCGAGAAATTCAAGGAAGCCATATAAAAACCCCACGTTGCGTACTTTGTGTGGAATGCACTTATCACTCATTTACCGTGAAACAAGTTAGTTCTAGTATCGGCCCTCCCGGAGGAGTGTCTTAAAAATGATAATCCAAACTCAATTAACCCTTAAACAAGTTGGTGGACGGTACAGTAGGCTCTTGGGTCACTGAAAATAACACACAACATTATGTTCAGACGATTTTCCGCCAGATAAATGGGCACTTGTCGTACGACCTGTGCGAATCAAATCGTAGAATGTCTGTGATTGGTGCAACTTCGCCAACCACTTCAACTTTGTAACCGACCACATCGCGATGTCCCAAAGATCTTCCTCCACCACCAACGCCAACCCAGCTTTGTCGAACTTGGACAGCCCCATTAACATTCTCCAATTTCCCATATCTTGACATGGTTGCTACTGGACATAATGTCGGCATCGCGTTTGCGCTCAACATCGCCGCCGGCCTCGCCACGTGCATCGGCGGGTCGGTCGTGTTCAGCAAGAGCCTCGTGCACCTCGCGAGCCCCAAGAGTCTGTCGGTGGCGCTCTCCCTGTCAGCGGGGGTGATGCTCTTCATTTCGCTCGTGGAAATCTACGGCAAGAGCGTCGAGGGGTTCACGGCGGGCCTTGGCGAGGACAACGCTGACGGCGAGTACGAATGCGACCAGACATGCCAGGGCAACTCGTGGCTCGCGGGTACGGCGTGCTTTGTCACGGGCTTCTGCATCATCTACGTCATGGACTGGATTGTGCACAAAATCTCGCCCGACTTTTCTGACGAACTCGACGTGGCCGACCTGCAGGCGCTCGAAGTCGCCGTGGACCCGACGCTTCCCCACTTCCACGCCACGGGCACCCCCGTCGCCAATTCCAAGCTCGACGACGAAAAGACCATCAAGTTCAACGCCAAGTCCCGCCATCAGCTCAACCGGACGGGGGTCCTCACCGCCGTGGCCATTGCAATCCACAATCTCCCCGAAGGCGTCGCCACATACATCGCAGCCATGCGCGACGTGCGCGTGGGGGCGGTGCTCGCCATCGGCATTGCGCTGCACAACATCCCCGAGGGCATCGCCGTGGCTACGCCCGTGTACTTTGCCACGGACAGCCGGTGCAAGGCGTTCCTGTGGACGTTCATCTCTGCGCTGGCCGAGCCGTTGGGG